GGGAAGGGGTATTGGATGTTGGGGGGGGGGGAGAGGGGAGGAGGGGAGGGGTATTTGCATACACAAAGAGTGCAATACGCACCGCCCAAAGGATGGACATATTTGAAACTTGGACTTAGGGGGGAGGGAGGGCAAGGGCAACATACGTAACCTAAACATCTGTACCCCTGCAATATGCTGAAAAAAAAAAAAATTAAAAAAAAATCCATGTGTCCTTTAGGGGGCGCCAACAACTCAGCTATTTTGAGTTCGAGGTTCAGACTTGGCAAAGGCCAAGGCCATCCCGGCAGAAGTGATATATAGCAAGCGAAGTGTCACTGGCCACAGAAGAGCAATTTAAAACAAGGTCACTTACCAAAATTAGGCTGGATTTATGTAACCAGAGTAAATCTGGAAAGCGAGGAAGAAAAGGGTGGTGAAGAACTAGGGACTCCAGCCCGGAGCCCCTCCTGGCAGTCAAGACGAACCTGGCTCCGCCACCGTGCAGGGCCAGCCTGCAACACTGCTGAGGGAAATGCTACACGGACTGTTGGGAGAGTGAGGATTTCTTACCACTGAGGAGAGTCCGACTGGGTCCCCAGGTTCAGAAGGAATAGTGTGCAGTGCAAGGTGTCTGGTTACTGGGGTCATTATTTCTCTTTAAACATGACTGAAGTCAAAAGGCATCTCCAAAGATGGCAAACCTATTGTCTATGCGAAATGAAAAGTAGCCAGGAAGTAAGCTCTCAGGTGCTAAGGAGGAAGCCACCTAAATTCTGAGTTTAAACAACTCACACACCTGTGGCCAGGTTCACCAGCGATGAGTGCCAGAAATACAGAGGAGACAATTACTGAACAACTGGTACCACACATTTAAAAATACTTGCCTTGTGTAGATCTCTTCCGTGTCCAAGTCTTACGTTCCATTAATCCAATCACCTTTTCACTGCCCTCTGCCCCCTTAATATCCCCACTTGCCAAGCGTAAATTCTAGGGTGACTGCCAGAAAAACAATCTTTGCAACAGCAAGATCTGACTGTAACCACCCTAACCAAGTGATCCAATTTAGCATCACTACTAGTGGGACAACCCATTACTCATCTCCCGATGTTATGTGATATGAAGCGCCTCGTACTACTGATAAAGTATTAGTACAAAAAACGTGTAACTTGAATCTAATTGAGCCTTTAGACCAAATTGTCAGTTTATAGGAAATACAGGGAATAAAGGAATATGTTCAGTGACACTGTGAGGAAACAATGAGAGAAATTCAGCACGTGGGATTCCTGTAAGACAACTGACGTGGTCTCTTCAAAAGGTCAACGTCACAGGGGGAAAAGAGGGCGAGACTGTTCTTTCAACTTTCCTGTTCGTTTGAAAAATTTCTTAATAGAAAGTTGGAAAAAATGTGTATTATCGATCATTAAAATTAAAATTAAAATACCCTTCCCTGCATCCTCAACTCCCTTGACCCTCTCCTTACTTTGTCATGGTTGCCGGGTAAAACCCCCACTCCAGCTAAATCCAACTTTTAGCTTGTTCTGTGTTTGCACCTGGCAACTGAATTGGGCTGGGAAGAAAAAAAAGAAAAATCACACACGTGTACGTGTATGCTTGTGTGTGTGCGCGCACACACACACACACATACACGCTCTGACAGTTCTCAGTTAAATTCAAGTGGACCCTTAGTGCAGCTGGCAATTCTACTGTATTTCCCTAGTCCATTCACTCTCTCGCTCTTCTAGATGACTATTATATCCTCCCCACTCAGGCTCAGCTGAAGACTTTAGTTCTATTTTCCTGAGAAAATAGAAACACCTACAAGAGAACCTCCACAAGCCCCAACCACCAGGATCTGCGCTCATATATTCCACCTTCCCTCCTGTGACTATGGATAAACTTCCATGTCCCTATTCAAGGCCATCTTCCGCCACCACTTGTCCCCTGGGACTTCTTCACATCTCACCTCATATGCCCCTTCTTTCTCCTGTGTTAACAATTCCTCCATGATCGATCATTCCCACCACAACTCGCACGCTGGAATTTCTCTTGTTTTAAAAATCAGAACTCCTTTGGCCACATGTCTCTCTCCAGCTACTGGCCCATTTCCTGCTTCTTTTATAGAAAACTCCTTGGCAGTGTCATTGACACTTGCTGCCTCTGACTCTTCTCCCCGCATTTCCTTGTCTGGTCAGATTTTTGCCCCCACCACTCCATTGAAACTGCTCCTGTCAAAATCACCCCTGACCTCCCTCTTGCTAGATGCAATACTCAAGTCTCCAAGCACTCACTTGGCCTGTCTGCCGTATTTGACATGGATCACAATTTCCTCCTCCCTGGACGTGCATTCTTCACCTGCTTTTCCCTTCTCCGCCTAGCCAGGCGGAGAGGGGGATACTATAGTAAACAACTGGCTCAGGCAGTCCTCCTTGAGAAGAGAGCATGTGAATAAAGACTGAAGGGAAGTGGGGACTTCCCAGCAGCACTCATCCTGGGAAACTCTCTGGTCCCAGGCAAACTGAGAGAGTTGGTCACCCTCCTAATATACTATATATTTTACTTGTTTATTGTTAGCATAATAACAATATATTGCTCCATGAGGGTAGGGAATTATTGGCTGATTTGTTCATTGCTGTATTCTCAGAGCCTAGAATGATATCTAATGCACATAGTAAGTTCTCAATAAATATTTAACGAATGAATGGAGAGCTAATAATGACTATTATAACTTAGAATGTATCTATGCTTAGTATATAATAAATTCTCAATGTATGTTGAAAGAATAAATGAATGAGCCCCCTGTAAATTTACACATGATTAAGACAGATGTGCAAATATAACCCTAATTAGTATGTTCCTTGCTAACACATGCAAATATAGCCCTAATTAGCATGTTAATTGCTAATTCCTCTTTATGGATGCTACTTGAATTCTTTTTTTTTGGTACTCATGACAAAATATATGTGTAATATATACACATATAATGGACATGAAGTGTCACACACAGCATTGGTAGACCTCCGTTAATTTAGCGTGTAGCTGCCCGGGGGGAAATGCTCACATGTGCACAAGCTGACTAGATGGACCTTGCCTCAAAGACCCCAAGTGGTTCAGGCAGCATCCAGCATCCCAGCAGCACTCAGGCCTGATTCCCTCCCCTAAAGTTCTGCAGCCCCCACCACTCTGGGACGAAGCTAGTTGGAAAAGTTGGATTGTCATCTCTACACAGTTGTAATGACTATAGCCCTCAAACTTTTGAAAAGAAAAAGAAATCTGGCAAACTATTCAAATCAAAAGAAAAGGCTTTTCTGAGGTCCAATGGGGTCTTTTCAAGAGGTACGGGTAGTTCTGGAAGGGACGTGAAGAGCAGACAAGGAAAGGAGATGGGGACAAACATGTCCTATTCCTGCAGGGAGCTCAGCCTTTAACAGCAAAATTGAGCTGCTCGGAGGCAATTAAGGAGAACACAAAGGCTCTGACAAGTGAAAAGCCTGAGAGGACAGGGAGGGCCCTGGGAGGGCTGGGGGAAGGGCGGGTGGGTTGTCCACATCTTAACATGAACCAGCGCCTGACTCGTCAGGGTCACTGAAGTCACTTTCCTAATTAAGACAATCAGAGTGGTCAGATGCCACCCCGATGGTGACAAGGATTCTACTTCAGGAATTGTCTTTGGGCATCCAGGGAATTTATCTGGTGACCTAAGGATCTAGTATGTAAGTAGCTCATATCCGAGAGTGATTTCTGTCCTGGTACTCAGGCCCTTTCTCAAATCTGCCATTCCTCACTGCGAGTCTAGTTTTCTACCACCACCTTAGCTAGACTCGGGGGTTGTACAGTAAGACAAAACCACTCCCTCCCCACTTAGCTGTTTCCCCTAACCCCAGGGAGAGGCGCTCCTGCCCCAGAAGCTTCTTCGTCTTTCCTTCTCTCTAGATGGGAGGTCCTCGAGCTCTGCAGCACCCAGGAATCACCTGGGGAACTGTAAAGGCTCCTGATGCCTGGGTCCCACCCCCAGAGATTCTGATCTAAAAGTTGGGGTGTGGCCCGGGCAGCAGGGCTTTTAAAAGCTCCCTGGGGAACTCTACTGTGCAGCCAGGGCGAGAACCACTGCTCTAGATCCCGAACTGCAGGTAGATATCCTGTCGGATAAAGATCCTGAGGGTTACTTCACCTGTCTGCTGAGAGAAACAGGTGACAGGGAAGGCAGACGCCGGGTTGAGGAGGGCTGGTGGCAGCTTCTGTGCCAGGGAATGAAGCAGCAGGAGCGAATGTTCCAATCCCCCAAACCCAATGTCATCAGTTCCAGGACGTTCACGAGACCATAGTCAGTCGTAAAAGTGACTAGAGTATTGATTTTTAAAATGAGAACATATCAAGAACATACCAAATTCACTTAAATTTGGCTGATCAGGGCTCAGTAGATCAGGAGAAGTAAAATCAGAGTAATTATGATCTAGTCCTTAGAGCAGTGGCTCTCGAACTTGAGCATACCTCAGAATCACCTGGAGAGCTTATTAAACTGCAGACTGTGGGGGTCCTACCCAGCCTTTCTTATTCAGTTGCTGGGGGGGGTGTCCCGTCCCTATGTTTGTTGATGCTGCTGGCGGAGGGACTGCACTTTGAGAACCACTGCATTAGAGCATTTCAGAGGGAACCTAATAAAGTGACATTCCCACCTGAAGCCACTTATGTTTAGTTGTAGAAATGTCGTCTGCCTTAGCTACTCTTAAAAGTGCTACAACACTAAACTCAATGAACCAGGAAAAGCCCAGGGAAAAATGGAGGTATTGGATAGATCCAAAATAACATTCCTGGATAGTCTGAAATATTGGGAAGTATTTTGAACACATTTTTCTCCCCTCTCCCTTCTTTCAATATTTGCTTCAATGATTGGGCTTTGAGGATACCACGGTAGCTTACGAAATGATAAATGTAATCTTGGCCTGAAAAAAATTAATGTAGTTTTCAGAAATGCTTCACTTACTTCTGAGTGACAGTCTATATATCTGAACAAATAATCCCAAGAAATCAGTAAAACACCCTGGTCAGCTTCAGTCTGTGGGTAAAGCTCTGTCAGGGATTACAAATATAAAAATTTGTTAATGAGACATTGTCAGCGATAACTTTGCTAAAAGTCTAGTAAAGACAGCTGAAAGTCTAGTGAAATATGCTCTCTTTGAAATTCTCCATTTTCTAAGATCCATAAACATGAAAACTAGTATTTCGCAAAGCTAATTCTCCACAGTCAATGCATATTTGGTTAACCCTGGAGTGAATTCAGTCTGCTAGTTTTCCAGAAAATATAACAGTGCAGAGAGGACATCATTTCTGTAATGGGCAATGTTGTTCCTGATTCGTTTACTTAAGACCACTCAGCGGGGAAACTGGCCTGCAGTCATAAATTCGAGAGCAGCAGTCGCCTGGCATCAGAGCACCTTGGCAAATTGCTAGTCAGATACCTTTGTGTCAGGTTTTATTTTGGGTTTTTACAGGTTTGTTTTGTTTTGTTCTTTTTAACGTTCACTTGTAGAAAAGACCAAAATCTTAGGAAAGCAGAGAAGATAATGCCTCTCCCTAAAGTAATGTTTTGCCAAAATCAAATTATCTGGATTCTATGTTTCCACATTCACTGCTCGCAGAGATTTTGAATAATTTCCCAACTTTCCAGAGTTCTTTATCCATGTACCTCTCTGGCTTCGACTCAAGCAAAACCTAGTTATTCTGTCTGCAATGTTAGATTTTTACCTGGGAATCGCTCCCCTTCATTTCAGCAGGAAAAATATAGTCTTAGCAACACAGACGTCAAGATAGCAAAATCATTTTTTTAAACCCCAGCCTCAAGGCAAAAAACATAACTCGGATTATTCACAGACTCACTTGCTGATAATGAGAGTCTCCTCTCCACATATCCAGACTCGCATGAACTCTCCATACATCTTGTTGTAGTAGTTGCAGGCACTGCCTATGCCCATCCACAGGAATCTGCCGTGGGAGAGGAGCGGCCCGATTCCCATGCAGTAGCCGGGACCTGGGAAAGTCATCAGATGGCAACCAGCTGTTAGTGACCCCCAAAATAGCAACTGCTTCGAGTTACTGCTGTTTTTGTTCGTTTATATCTAAATGTTCTTCACGTCTATCTGTGAATCACAAATAAAGTGATTTACAACAAAACAAAACACGCGTAACGTGAGGCTCTTCGCTCCCCCATGAGTAAAAAGCAGTCCCGTATCCACGCTGTCCTCGTTCTGTTTGGCCTCAGTCATTTCAGTCTGGAAGAACTGGGCTATGTGTGCTAATTTCCTCCCATGCTAGCCAGTGTCAGTGAATTTCAAAAATAAGTCCATCCGTCCATCTGGTGAAAAGCTGATAGATCTGTTTGGCTGCCTGGTTTTGGCTGAAAATGTTTGGTTTGAGTGCCCCCGCTTACAGAATGGGTGAGTTAGAACTAGGCTATGGTTTTAGAGGAATCCTGCAAAACTCAGAACATCCATTTCTCTTTTTCTCTTAAAAAGGACTCAGTTTAAGAAAAAAAAACCTCTTAAGCTAAATCTCACTAAACGAAATAAAGCTAAGAATTGAGGAATTAGGCAACGAGTCTGGTCAGTGTCTAGACTAGAGTCCTGTGATCTGGTTTTAGCCAAGAGCAGTGGCCACTCGTGCCGTTGCTGACGAATAGGATGGCAGAATTTGTAAAGAACACGAGTCCAGGGAACAACCGGGGAATTTGATCTTGTTTGCATCAGAGAACAAACTTGGCAGCTTGATTTTACTGGTGGTGGTAAAATTAGATAAAAAAATTTTTGGAATGGTTTTAGGAATTACATTATAAAGTAGTAGTTATACCAAATCTGTCTTCTTTGATTCCATTCTGTCACTGAAATAGTTCTGAAGCCAAAACACACCTAACCGTATGAGAACATTCTCACTCTAAGGGTAAGAGTTGTGTGATTAGATAGTGTACATTTTTGCTTGAATCATCTGAATTAGATGTTGAGTCCCAAATACAGCAAACAATGTTTAATCTTTTTCTTTGCAATAGCTGAGTTAATATGAACAAGACTACCGGCTCTTTTTTCTGTTTAAAGAGAACATCTTTATTAATATCTATGGAACCAAATTACTATCAAAGGGTTATTAATCTTGTAATAATTTTAAAAGCTCTACATTATGCAGTAGATGACTAACTTGATAGTAAAATAATTCCATTAAGTTCTTTTAAAGATTTACACAAGCAGATTTGATTGAATATATATTTCCTTAAAATGTCATCAGATATACTAACCTTTAATCAAATTAAAATATGCATAATAAAATACTTCACTGGATATTTATAGCTGGGCACATTGTAGATGCTCAACACATGTTTCCTGAATGAATTTTAAAAATGAATTAGGCTTGTGCATACAATATAAAGGATGAAGTTTTAAATGCTATCCTCATTTAGGGTATTTTAGGTTGTATTTACATTTTGATAAAAAAATTGGAAAATATCAAAAAATGTATATTTGATCCACAGGAGGTCAAGTATCTAGTTATTTGGGAATAGGTTTATTCAATAAACATTTACTTACTTAATATACCAGTCTTATGAGCAACAAAGACATACAGATAAAAGATTGCACTTTTCATCTTTTATCGAAAAGTTTGGTGCCATGTAGAAAATCTTAATATTTGGCAGCCACTATTCGAATTTAAAATATGAAAGAAGAGAGCCAAAATCTACTGAAAAAGGGAGATCATGATGAACCCTGTGCTTAGGATAAGAACCTGAATGTTCTAATCAGAAGAGAACCAGAGTTTTGGGTCCTTAGTAATCAACTGTATGTCAGCTTAATTCATCCAACAAACACTTACTGAGGCCCTACAAGGTGTAGACACTAGTTTCAAGTTAGGGTCTGAAAATGTATAATAGTCCCCATCTGAGTTCCCAGGACAGGAGAGTATGTAAAAAAAAAATTACAAAATCAAATAATTCTAACACAATGTAATCTTTTCCTTTACATATATATCTTATACCCTCCAGCTAGAGAGAAGAATGCTCTAGAAGCTTTGGTAAAATATTAGGGAAATGTTCTGGTGCAACCACATTAAGCTGTTCTTTGCTTCTCAGACTGGAGAATGTTTATCTAGGCATGCAGTGATTGATGGCTGAGCCTAAGAGAAGCGGTAAATACTTCACTGCATTTTTGTGTGGACGCAGCCTCCTTGGAGCCAACAGCTGGGTCCTTTCGCCAGCTGTCCTAATCAAGAAGCTGTTGCATGCCACGCCTAGGTGTACACCCTGGAGAAACCTGTGCACACATACGTTCTCGGCAGTCCTGTTCACGATAGCCCCAAACTGGAGACACCCCAAATGTCTATCAACAGAAGAATTGGCATTTAAACCGCGAGATATTCTTGTAACTCAGTACCATATGGCAATGAAAATGAACTACGGCTGCATGCCACAATGTGGATGAATCTCAGAAACATAATATTGAGTAAAAGAAGCAAGACAGAATAAATAACGTATGATTTGATTGCAAAAACATTTAAAACCAGGCAAAATTAACCTATATTGTCTGGGGATGTGAAATTAGGTGGCACAGCTATAAAAAAGCAGGGAGTGATAGTCACGAAATCCAGGAAAGTGTAGTGATTAAGAAGGCACATGTGGAGTGTCTAGAATGGGGCTAACATCCTATTTCTTGTGCCGGACTGTGATAGCAAATTTATCAGCACACTGAGCACTTTTCTTTGAAATATTTTCCTGATGGGAAGAAAGAGGAATGTGTTGCCATGTCCTTTTCCCGGTGCCCTGCTCTGGGGATGTGGCAGCCAGGGCAGAGTGCAGCACCTGGAGGGAGAGGGGCCCCGTTCAAGGTTGGGGGTGGCTGTGTGTCCTTGCAGAAGGGAGAGCTGCCAGGTGTCAGGCGACCGTGAATCCTGGACACAGATCAGTAGACTGGGGGCAATTTCTCAGAGCTGAAGCTTACAAAACCCCCGTGGGAATGACTCTTCCCTCCCCTAGACTTTCAGAGCCCCCTCCCTGGCACTAAATCATCTGCCTGTGGGTGCCCCTGCCTTTGATGTCTTTGCCACTTTGATGCAATCCCCCCAGGGCAGACGCATCTCTTTCCTCTTTGCACGCCACCCCCCACCCCCACCCCTAAGCACCCAATACAGCAGAGCTTCTCAGTGAATATGGATTGGAGAAGCTTGGATATGAGCTCTAGTTTCATCACCTACTAGCTGCATGACATCTACCCTCCTGGAGTCTCAGTTTTTTCACCTACGAAATAGGCATAAATACACTAACCTCACCAGAGAGCATGGGCCCAAAACCACTTTGTAAACTGTAACTTACTTGAGGGTTTTTCTTCATTACACCTTCTCGACTCTCTTTGGCTTCCACTGACCCTGAGCTTCCCCCAAACCTCTAACACCAAGAACCCAGACAGCCATTGACTGAAAGGGGCCGGCAGGAGTTCAGGAGTCTTGCTGATCAAGAACCACCCTACCAAGGCCAATTTTCTCATCTCCTCATCCCCAACCAGCAAGCACAAGACCTCACAGTCTGTGCCACTAGAGGATTCTAAGCAGACCTTATGTTTTCAAAGCGAAAGCATGAAACTAGAAACTCCCTGGCTAGCAGAATGATTTCAGCTTGGGCTTTAGGGCTTCCTGGTGTCCTCCTGCACTCCCACTTCCCTTCTAGCTGGGAAGCTGATAAGCCAGTTCTCTTCTCTGGGCTTTAGCCCCTCACTTGTGTGATGAGGAGTTTGAACTCCAGTGGCTTCTCAGACTGGCCATAACGCTTCGCCTGGGCCAAGCAGGTCGCCTCTCTGAGTCCCAGCTTCCCCTTCTATCGGATGAGGGTGTCAGGCTCATATCTGTGGCTCTCAACCTTGGCTGCTCATGAAAAATCACCTGGAGAGGATTTAAGAAAATATCAACCTGGGGGCCCTACCTCAGACAGGGCTGAGAATCACTGTATTATGTGACCCGCCTGTCAGTGCGTGACAGTATGCATTCCCTAGCCCAGGAGTGGTGGACGGAGTGAGGTGCTGTCTAGACTCCTGATCCGGGGTTTCAGGAAAGCCAGGCTGACCTCCTCGCTCAAGGGTCCAAGGGAGTTCCACCAGTGCATGCGGCGTAAGCGTCTGGGGAAACTTGTTAAACATGTGTGTTTCTAGGCCTGGAGAGTCTGATTCAAAATGTCTGGGGCAGGACCCAGGGATCTGAAATTTTCACATGCTTCTACCTTCTGGGTGATTCTTATATATACTACAAGTATATATACTTTTATATATACGGGAGGAGGGGGCAGCCGTCGTGGAGAGAGTTCAAGTTAAAGACCAGAGGAGAGGCATCCCTCAGCTCTGAGCCTCCCTTCCCCGGAGATGACCCTGTCAGGGAGCAGAGAACAAGATTAACTAAATGTTCCACTAAAGTGGGCATTAAAGTAATCTAAAATATCAGGCTGAATCAGACTGAGAGACAGGCAGTTATCTGGAAAATTTTAAAAAGAATCCAGACACAGAGCATTTTGTACCAGCCCCATACTCCCACTCTTGGTCACACGGAGATGAGGCCCACCGCACTTACAAGCGTGTAATAACTATGCTCTGGAAACTAAACCTCATCGGAGAGCTTATGGAATTGGCAGGAGTTGCCTGCCAGGAGAAATTTGCACTGAAGACTAAAGAAACAGTCTGAAATTTCTAATACTTCTGAATTAATCTGATATCTGATAATTCCAGCATTAGCGGTGGAATAGTGGGGTTTTCCGTTGGAATTATCTGGTTGTTATATCATTCCCTACTTTTGATTGACCCCCAGACCCACAGATTCTATCGGGGTGTGATGTTTCAAGGGCACCACTGTGGTCCCCATTCTTCTCCCACTGCCAGGGTCTCAGTCAGCCCTTCTGGTGGCACCACCACCACCACCACATGGCCAAGAGTAAGAGGAGAGGAAGAGTGGGATGAAGAGAAGACAGAAGTACAAGACAGGGCAGGGCCGCAGGTGAGGTGAAGGGGGAGGGAGAAAGAAAAAAGTAGAGAAGGCATTCCAGAGACATTTTCGCCTTCAGAGCAAAACTGGAATGAATCTGAAAAAAATTAACAACAACAAAAACCTAGAATTTTACCTTGTTCTACCCTATCTCAAACTTGTTTTAAAGGAGACTTGTGCCAAGTCTGCTTTCCCAAAAGCAGAGTGCAGACTGGAAGGGATTGTCTAAAATAATTTTTGTAAATGCTTTCGTTTAAAATGTGCAGATAATTGGTCTAAAAGTTTTCACCTGAGTCCTCACTTGCTAACATGGCCGTGGTCTTCAGAGACCTTTCCAGGTTTCCTTTTCCCTTTTGTGAAATTTTCTTTAACATCATGGACCAAAAGCCCAAGAAAGCAATCTCCTTAGATGCGGAAATAAATGACTGGCTTACCTGGTATTGAGGACGTGTCCTCATAATTCCAAACCAAGAGGAGAAGGCCGGTGAGCAGCAGGATTGGCATGGTGGCAGCAGGCATGACTTCAGGCACCATGCTGGTGATGTTATAATGCGTTGGGTTCAGCATTTCCAAAACCATCTTGTGTTCCTTGACCTCAGAGGAAGCAATTTAGAGTCCTATGGAAATCAAAGGGGCAGAAAAATCAGAGAATCCTCCAAGAGGTTCATCTAGGACTCCTGTTGCTTCAAGAGGGTGTCCGTACTACACAGATTCACTCGTCGTTTTATAATGTGATCGGACACTTACACAAGATAAATTTGTGGTTACGAGTCAAAACAAGCAAGCTCAAGAGAGACCTTTTGGATTGAATTACAGCATTTCTGACCTTGATAGAGTCTCAGGTTCATTTAGGGGCCTGGTCTGATAGAACCTTATCATCCTGCCCTTGAGTGGGTAGAGTGACGTGCATTCCCAGTTGAGAGCCAGATTTCTTAACAAAATACAAGGAAATAAAGCTCATTCCAAAGGTGGAGTTGTTCTGTGACTTCGTCAGCAGGTTTTGTTTAGACCGTCTTATCCCCTTGAAGTCAAATCAATTTAAAACAAAAACAAAAAAATGAATAAACAAGCAATCCTCCAACCCCCTTCCTTGATCAAAACTGCCTCCCCCAAATAGTAAGTTTCTACAGCAAGAACACATTTCTGGGGCATTGTTCAGGTGTTCTCAGAGCTTCCCATTAGGTTGTCTATAGAATTCAAAGTAAATCACTCAGGGCTTTCTCCAGTGGCTTTAATGAGGATCTAAAATCTCTTGTACCACAGGCTGGACTAAGCAGTATCCACGGGGGGCGATGTCAGAAGTAGTAGGAAGAAAAGAATAGGAGAGGAAGAATAAAGGGAGAGGAGAAAGAAAAGGAATGAGGAGGAAAGAAGGGAAGAACAGGCAGAGAATGCCACCTGCAATAGGCCCAGGTGCCACTCAGCAACCTCATCACAATAGTGGCCAACATCCCGTGCAAGACAATCAATTTCCAGTTTGATTTGCTGGTTCTGCTGTGTTTTTCAACAACACGCCATTGAATCTGTCTGTTCAGCCACGTTTTGCAATCCCTTTAGTCTCAGAAGAGAATTTCAGGCATGGTAGTTTGTAGCTGAAGAGGTCTAGGTTGAACAAACTTGTACAGTGAGGAAAGGGTCACCGTTAAATGCATTTTCTGGTGGCAGGTGACATGCCCCAAGGTTTGCCTTTTCTTAGAAAATGCCTGAGGTTTTGGGGACTTGCAATGGCTCTGAAACAGGCTTTGTCTGGTTTCAACTAGGAATAAAATTCTAGAATCATAGCCGGGGCTTCTAACTGGATTTCAGGGGCTCTGTGAATTCCCTGAAATGCTGCATAAAATGTTGTATTGGCTCCTGTGCACTTTTGAGAGGAGACAGAACATAACTTTCATCAGATTCTTAAGGAATATGTAATTATATTTCTCCCCTGATCCGTATGAGATCTTAAATATCCAATCAAAGTCTGATTTCTGGCCAGCTACAGAAATTTCACAATATAGTTGAATTCATCCAGTTGTTTCAGCATTTCTATCATTCCATAATTTAAATAACAATTAACACGAAGTGCAAACCGAAAATGTCTATGCTTACGTCGAGCCGTTTTTTGTTGTTGTTGTTGCTGCTGTTGTTTTTTAATATATATAAGTTGAGATTAAAAAGTCAGCATTGTGTCTGTTATCATCTGATTCCTTTGTTAATGAGTAGCTACTTGGAACAAGCGAAGATTTATTTTTTAGATTTTTTTAAATTTCCAGAATGGAATTTTATATCATTCTGAGTAAGCTCTGTGTGACTTTCTGACAGCCAGAAGTTTCAATTTCTATTGATGAAACCTGAAACCATTGTTCAAAGCACAAATGAGGAAAGTGGTTGCAACGAAAAGGATGACGATGTCCCAGAGGAAGTAACGTCAGCGAAAAAATTTCACAGTAAAGGAATTCTCAGAAATATTTCACAGCATTGAAAGCAAAATATGAGACGTTGGAAGCTGATGCAAATTTTTAAAGGATAGAACAATTCACCAAGGCATGGAAAAGATGCTCCCTCAGTATCACATGCTATGCAAAGAGCAGACAGCAAGAACTGTTCAAATACTCTTGCTAAGTTTTTTTTACAAAGAAAGAAAACACTTTAAAATCTGCACTGTTTTTAATGTTTTAAATTACTGTGTACTAAAACATTTGTTTTACTATTTTTTTTGTTTCCCTATACACTTATAACCTACAGTAAGAGATTTTTTAATGCTTTGGCAAACAATTTAAAGTGGAACAATCATAATTTTTGTCCTGATTTTTAAGACTGTTCTGCACAGTTTCAGCCCACACGGTCATTTTTACAGTCCTGCACTACCGTGCAAAGTGAGGGCTGTCTGTGTGTCTAAATGTTTAGTGGCGCTAAGAAGGCTGGTTTCTCATCTTCTTCAAAAGTATGTCATAAAGACCCCCGACAAATGCACCATTTGAAGACCTAACAGGATAAGAATTTTTTTAAACACTTACACAACATTTGCTATGTGCCGGACATTGTTCTAAACACTTTACAAATGTTAAGCTGTTCATCCTCACAACAACCCTGTGAGCTAAGTGTAATTATCCCCATTTTACAAATGGGGAAACTGAGGCACGAGAGGGTTAAGTAGCTTGCCCTAGGGCACCCAACTCACATGTGGCAGAACTGGGATTGGCACCTAGGTGGGCTGTCTCCAGAGCCCACACTCTTAATCATGCCATTTTGCTACCTCTTATGGGATTCATTTAGTTTCTATATGCAGGTATTTTTCAATCATTTATGTTCATTCCTGGGCTATTTAGAGAGACTCCCTTTCAAGGATTAAGCTTTATGGACCTCTGAATGCCACAGCTGGAATGCCACAGCTGGAAATGCCACAGCTGGAAATCAGGAGAGTCTCTCCTGATTGCTCATTGGTTTTCCCGTTCAGTAGAACATTCTGATGGGCCACACAGGCAGGTTGAACAGAATAGTAGTACAGGAATATAGGAAGGTCCCAGAACTTCATAGAGGTTGCTTATATGTCCCCCCTGCCAGTAGCATCCCCCCTCGCCTCCAAACATGCATATATACACACATGGCCCTGAAGTGCCACGTGCCTTCAAGGCCATCTCAAATGCCTGGGTCTCCACTGCCCTCTGAGGGTCATCTCCTTGGGTCCCGCCCTTGTTGTTTGCAGGGTACTCTTTGCCTGCTCAGGCATCCCACACTGGCCTGGCACCAAGCAGGGGCTCTGGCCACCTGATGGACCAGGCCTGCGTGCCTGTGCTGGGTGGCATCGCAAGCGTCTTGACTAACACCTTCATTTAATGCCCTACCAATCTCAGGGAAGGGAAATGCCAGTACTTCAACAAAAGTACTCAGCCTGAGATAGGGCAAAGGCCTTGTGGAGACGCAGCAGAGCCTAAGTGTCCTGGCGATGTTCGGGTCAGAACATGTCCTGGGCCCGACAGCACGAGGAGGGACTCCCATATACCCTGGTATAGCCCAGGCCTTCTGCAGGGAGAGGAGGCAGGCCCTGGCCTTACAGAAGTGCTGCCCAGACTGGCCAGACCCTACTAAATCCTACCTTTTAGCACAGGGATGCTGCCGCCCAACCAGGTTTCTTTGCCAGCTGGCCAAGAAGCAGCCAATATGCTGAGTCAGCAGGTTTTACGCAGAGAAAGAGTCTCTATTTCACATAGTGCTAAGCGGGCAGACGTGAGAATTTCTCAAATCCGCCTCCCTGAGAACTTGGGAGATGGGGTTTTTAAGGGTAGTTTGACAGGCAAGGGATTAGGCAATTGGGTTTGTTAATAGGGGCGTAGAAATCATCTTCTTGTGATGCTCCCGTCCCTGGGGTCACAATTCCAGTTGAGTTGGTTTCTTGGTATGGACCACTGATGTGGGTGGGCCAATCGATTCACTGGAATGCAGGGCCAGAAAGATATCTTAAAAACTACCTGTAGGTTTGGAAAATGCGATATTATCTATGGAGAAAGTTAAGAATCTTTGTGGATACCAGCTATGGGGAGAAGTTAAGAATCTTTATGACCACCAGCTACGTGACTTCGGAGTGGCAATTACAGGGGGACAGTTACTAATCATTATTATTTTTAGCTAGGCGCTTACCACAGTTCTTGCCTTGCACCCTATTATTGAAGGGGGGTTTCAGGGATGACTTGTCCAGCAGGGAGATGACCCCTGTCACCCTGGGTCCAAGGGCCAGGTGCCAAGCCTGCGCTCCCTTTAATTCACTCCAGCACACTTGGTCCATCCCTCTTTCATGCCCCCACTTCAGGGGAAACTCAACCCAGGCACCTTGGTTCTCCCTGTTGCACGCTCTGCTTTGGGTCCTCAGGGGCTGACTGCTAGAGTTGCCACTAGGAGCATGACAGTTGTGACCTTGGCCCCCAGGGACTAACAGGGTCTTAGAGGGATAGGTATAGACCCTTACTGAACAATTCCCCAAGTGAGTGAGAACTTCCAGTTGGAGGCAAGAAGGCTGTGGCTAGAGAGCACCCTGTCTCTGGGGGCTGGAGTGTTGCTGAGTGGTAACAGGGGGTGGGACAGGGAGGGGGACAGGGATAAGTGAGCATGATGCTAACAAACAGAAAGATCAGCAAGGAGCAGAGAGAAGGCTGGTGATCCCGGGCTCAGTGAGCAGGGGGCAGTGTGGGGTGCCCTGGAGCTAGAGACAGTGGCAGGCGACACCTGTGTAAAGCCTTATAGGCCGTGGAAAAGATGTTGGAATTGATCCTAACAGAAATGAGAAGCCATTGAAGGGCTTTACGCAGAGGTCAAGAATATCATATATGTGTTGTGAAAATCTAAATCACTCTGGCTGCAGTGGGAAGAATAGCATGGGGCGATGGGTGTTGGAGTGGGTGAAGAGAGACCAGCTGGGAGTCTTCCACAGTTCTTCGGGCAAGAGAGGAGGGTCCTGTGGTCTCGGGAGGTGGAAATGGAGAAGCTGACAGTTCAAGAGACGTCTGCGGTTTGAATTGACATGTCTGGGTTGTGATTTAAATCCAATGACATAGGAGGAGAAGACAGTGGCGCCATTCTCTGAGCTAGGACCAGTGTTGAGGTGTGGGAAGCTTATTTAGGTTTTAGAAATTTTGAGTTT